ATCCCTAATGCGGCCTCAGTATTTCAGAGTCGCCAATGTGGATAGCGACCTAGCGAAAATGATTGCTGAAGCCACCCAAAATCAACTACAGCCTGGTAATATCGTCATTCATGAACAGAACCCCGACGGAACCTTCAAGGTACGGCAACTTAAGGGCGCTAATGTTGTTGGAGGACGAGGGAAGGGCGACTCACCATCAACTTGTTCGTCTGCACCCTCCTTTCGACATGGTGACACCTCCCACCAACATGCTCAGCCTTGGAAAACGCAGACGACCAGAGTGAGCATGTCTGGTCTCGCCGTGTCCCCTCATTTGCACCACACACCGTCCTCTTATGTGCCGAAATTGCCAGAAACTTCCAGTATAAGTGTTTTGCTTTTCAGTTAGAGCTTCACTTGACATGTCGAATGACTACACCAACGGGTCGTATGAACATCAGTGGACGTGCACCAGTTGGTCTTCGTCCGAAAAAGGTTATGGTCAACGGAAAAGAAATCTGGGTGGAAAGTTAAATCATATAAGCCGCAATTTGACTCAGTTTTCGTTACCATTTCCATCATCGCATCTGACGCCAATTTTATGACACCATGTCGATAAACAGCTATGATACGGGATTTTCACATACTTTTGTCTCTATGTCAATAAAGTTGTGGGCCGGTGTCTACAGATGTTCTCATTAACATACGCCTACTTTATGGAGCCTAGGTGAGGATTGCTTTACAGTGAAAAGAGAAACGACCAGGGCCCGTCGTTTCGATAAGGAAAAAAGGAATCCATCAGTACAATAGCCTCTCTAGGTACGGGCCTCTTGAAAACGATAGTCTAGCTTGACCCACTTGTTTTGTACCCGTAACTTCCTGGAAAACCTAGCCGGGCGGGGATATGTGCTAGCAGGTAATTTAATGGTATAAATCTCTACAATCAAAGTACCGCAGTAACATAAACTCCTCGCAACCATTCCGTACACGTCACCTGGGCGCAGTTCGGCGACGGGGGGCATTTTGCACTTTTGCTACTTCCCATCGACGTGTCGACCCATCTAGAGAGCCTTTTCGTGAGTTGACAGGTTTCACCATTGTGGCTCGATGAGCTTGCTCCAGCTTAACAGGTTTCATCAGGTAAAGTATACATACCGGAACTAGTGAAGCAATGAAAGTGCAAAATGCCCCCGTCGTCGAACTGCGCCCGTCACCGGGTTGCATAGGGTACCCTTCATACTCGCGTACGACCCTCTCGTGTAGGATGCCTCAAAGAGTGACGTGGTGACGAGCTCACATACCGAAGTTAGAGATAGTGTCATATCTGGGGGGGGGGGGAGAGGCGTGGGACGCGCATGGCGATGGCTGGAAGGGTCTACATGGACTAGAAATAGAGACGTATGAATAAGAAGAGAGTCGACGCGAAACACCATGACCGAAAACCGCTGGTACGAGATAACAATCCAATAATTTGACTTATTCAACGTGCATTAGCGTACCACATTAAATCAGTTAGGTCCCGTAGGAATGCCGCGCACGTGACCATCTAACAATGCTGCCCTCGGCGCGTGCCCGTAACGTGAGTCTACTGACTGGCATTCACCACAAGCACACCAAATTCACGTATGAAAGCATTCCTTTGAGCCGAATTCGGTCATTCGGTTTTCTGAATATTCGACTAGCTGGTTTGAACTTATTCATTTCTACAAACCTGCAAGTAACTGAAAATTATCACAGACTATATAAATCCATAATTTTTCCAAAAAGGGTAGTAACAAGTCTGTGAGACTTGTTTTCAAACAACTCTTCTAGTATGAGAGGGAACCATTGAATTCATGCTAGAGTTGGATCAATCCAACTAAAACACATTTTGGCACTATTCAGCTTGGGAGGGACATTTTGCACGTTTGCTAGCTTCTGTTGATTATCGGTCAGAGCTTGTCGAGTGTAGACTCTTGTCAAGTGTAAGCGAAGCTCTTGCTATTGTGTAGCCTTACAGGAACTTAAAGGTCCACACCGAGGCATCGGCAGTGATCTAGGGAAGCACAGAATGCCCCCACCAAGCCGAACTGAGTCCATATTTTTCATAGAACTGAACCATTTTCAATTAAATCTACTGCTTCTGCGAAAGGACTCCACGCAGTTCCTTCGTTCTTCGGGTATCTGCTTCTCATCGCCTGGAAATGGAGCGAACTGTTTCTACCACATACTAACTCAATTCTAATAAGAAAGCATACCTTTTCTATATTTCCCTGTACGAACAAGAATGCCTTTCATCCCAGATTTGATTGCTCCAAGAACATCGTCTTTTGCGTCGTCACCAATCATTACGGTATTGGCGAGGTCGATATCGTCACCTAGTGTAGCAGCACCCATGCGGAAAAACGCTGGTTCCGGCTTGCCAACGACCTCTGCCTGGAAGTTACTTTTCCATGTCTAGAAACTGGGAGGGCGTGGCTGCCTACTCCATTTGAACAAAGCCAAGCATGCTGCATTTTTCACGGAATATTTATATTCCAAGCAACTGTCTTCGAATGCAGTCGCCGATACGCCCACATAAAGTGTGCAGCCACGC